GGGTGAGGAAGTCTCCTCCCCAACCTACAGACAAAGTCATAGAAATAGAGGAAAAGTGTGACATTAGGAAGGGCAACAGGTGTTTCTTTTGTCTGAATCGACCGAATCCGCATACTCTTGTTCTGAAATACCGGAGAGTTTAGCTTTCTGTTAGAGCTTCAGAGCTTCTGAACTTATTTCTTAGGCAGCACTGGGGCATTTTGTGTTGTATGTATAACGGTTGAAAGTGCACAGAATAAAACAGGTCAAAGCAGGGCGGTAAAATGGTGTCTCCTCAGGCCTCTCTATACACACGACAGTCCATCTCTCAAAACGGTGCCTGCCTCTTCCAGGATTTTTACAGCCTCCTGCCGACTCAGGGCCATGGGTGTAAACAGGACCTAATAGCTTCTGGAGTGAAGGTCTCCCCACACACACACCACACACACACACCACACAACACACAACACAACAACACACACAAACACACACGACATACACACACACACCAACACACACACAACACACAAACCACACACACAAAAACAACACACACACACACACGCACACACACACACACACACACACACACACTAGGGGTTTCACAACTACCAATATTTACTTGTCGACACATTTTTCAAAATAGTAGTCGACTAGTCGACTAGTCGTTACGTCATAATAAAGACACACAAAGAGAGGTGTAAAACTGTATTTTATATTGGAACTCATACAGTAACATTAAACACTGCATTTTAATTTGTGTTACATGGCTGAGTAAATAACAAACAGTAACTGGACTCACCAAAATCGACAGCAAAAAAATCTTGTTTACATAAATGCCACGTAAATCCAGTGCGCAACACTTTATTCGCTGTCCTCCACGATAACGTCCACCTTTCCATATTTTTGGTTTGGTTTGAACACCAACGCATCGACATGTGAGGGAAGGAGGCTTGACCGCTTTCGGGTGACAGTGTTGCCTGCCAGGGAAAAAACCCTCTCACTCGGGGTGCTTGTGGCTGGAATAGCCAGGGAAAAAACCCTCTCACTCGGGGTGCTTGTGGCTGGAATAGCCAGGTAGCTCCTCGAAAGCGGGGGAAGCGGTGCACGTTTTCTGCCCACCACTCCAGTGGATTATCCATTGTGGGGATATGCGGTGTCCACTGGCAGTAATCCCGTAGCTCATCATCCGCATCACTGTTGACCCGTGTTTTCTTGCTGTTCGTTTGCCTCTGTTCAGTGCTGACGCCGGTCCGTTGCTCACTGGTGCTAGCATTGCATTTGTATTGTACTTCAGTACAGCTGTACACAACTGACACTTCACTGTGGAGTTGGTTACATCTTCGTTGAAGTACTGCCATACATAAGAATGTCGGACGTGTTTTGGAGCATTTTGCAGCACCTCGTTTACCTCAATTTTTTTCACGACTAGTCGACTAGGGCCTACAGCGCCGACTAGTGGTAAAGGTAGTCGATTAGTCGACTAGTCGATTAGTTGGTGAAACCCCTAGGACACATTTCTGAAGGAGTTTCATCTCCAGTTCAAATCATGAAAAAAAAGTTAATTCCAAAGGACTACTTCAAAGGTTTTTTAATCCAATTTGTTTGCATGACCACAAAGTAAAACAATAAAAACATGGTGATAGAAAGCTGGTACAGTAGGTGGGAGTTAAAATTATCATGACTTTGTGTCTTTGTGTCTGTCACCTGGAAGCTGTCACAACAGAGCGGCGGTGGCTGTTACGCAAGTGTGTTTGGTAGTGACGCAATAAATGAACCAGGATGCTGAAGCTGTACCAACAAAGAGTTTAGAGAGCATTACCACGGAACTCCCTGTGGAGATTAAAAGTTTGTGGTTTGTTAGTTCACTGGGTGTTTGTGTGTCTTCCCTACACCCCGGCAGGGAAGGACTTTTTCTCTCATGATCGCAATAAACAAGAAGACATAAACATGCTCTATTTGAGAAGTCTGAGTTCAAACAAATGGTGTCCTCTCCTTTTAAATAGCACTTCACATCATTACAGTATTTCTATTGGGCCTGACTGAACTCTTGAATGAACAGGATACTTGTCAGCATTCAGGCCCATCAGTCACATTATATTTAACAATATGGATATGTTTTGCTAGAAAGTTGGACATGAATGAATGTCTCGTTGAGATATGTAACCCACTGGCACACCGCACAGAAAAAGTGCTGAGTCATTTTGGGGGTGGTTCCACAATTTCATGTGAAGTAGACCGCCTTAATCAAGTCCATACCCGTTCTTGGAATTTTCCAAGGAACACTAAGTCCTCCCTCTGTGGGGATGGTTGGATTTGCTTCGCTAAGCATCCAGTTGCATAAGCTGTTACCTTCAGACCTACATCGTACCTCTTAATGCAGACTTGATGTAGATATAAACATTGTAGTATATATATTTCTATAGATATGGCTTTTTTTGTGTTGCCATAGTCTAATTTGAATAAAACACATTTTGTTTGTTTTTTGTCATTGCACAAGTTATATTGCTTGTGAAATGAGTTCCTCTTTGTCTTAAAAACAACACATTGTGGCGCTTTATAGTATAATGCTTTATTGGTCTTGTTCTGCTAAATGTCACTCAAAGAAACACTTAGACTACTAATCATAGACTGCTACTAATGCACAACCTAAATATAGTACAAGGCACTTTTGTACCAAAACAACGTACTAGAACCCGGCAGTAAAGAAAAGTATGACATACAAGTGAGTATCAGAGTGCTGGGAGGGGGATCTTTAACTACAGGATCCTGAAGGGCAGTCTCCTTCCTTAAAGTGCCACCTTGCTGCGGTTAGTGTCACAAATTATACCAATTCTCAATGTGCCACATTAAGAGATTTAAAAGTCACCCTATCACCAGCATATAGCTGCCAGTATAAATCATGCCTTCTTTCTTATTGAAAGCAGTTGGTCTGGTTTTGACTACAGGTACTTTCACACATTATTTGCCGTGTCAACCTTTTTATTTGCAAGATTAATTTTGGGGCCTATTAAAGGCAAGACTGAACATGTCTGAGTCTAATTCGTCTTTGTGTGTTATTCCAATCTGCCATTATTGATTGAAATGTCTCAAGTTATGGATGGTGACGGAGTAATTAAATCAGATTTAGAATCATTAGAGGCTTACAATACATTTCAAGAGCACTTGTAGGTAATCCATCTAGAGCAGGGTTGTCCAAATATTTTTCACTGAGGGCCACAAACACAAAAATATTCGAAGGGCTGGGCCGCTCACTAGAGGTCAGGTTTATTGCCTCATAAGTAAAGTTATAAGTTAGCTAAATCAATCAAATGTAAGTGATTCAACAGCCTACATGACAGCTTTCCATAGGGTTTCATTTATTAGCAGCTCATTCCTTAAAACAGACGCCTTAGATTGCTTATCATAAGAGGAAATATGAAGGGTATAATTCAAGGTTGTTATGTACATAAGTTATTGGGCTTTTTTCTTATCAAATTAGATTTGTTAGAACATATTTTCAACTTTAATTGACTGAAAGTGGGCTTATTAACACATATATGTTTACAGATATATTTAAGAAGTACAAGACAAGCTCAAGTTTCATTTGTGGGCCGCATTCCATTATACTTTTTGA